GGCGCCGAGCCGAGAACTCCATCTCTTAAAAAAAAAAAAATAACCAGACATTGCGGAGGACACCTGTAGTCCCAGCTACTTGGGAGGCTGAGGCAAGAGAATTGCGTAAGCCCCAGAGTTTGAGATTGCTGTGAGCTGTGACTCCACAGCACTCTACTATGGGCAAAATAGTGACACTCTGTCTCAAAAAACAAAAAACACAAAAAACTGGGGCCCTCAAAGGTCAAAAATCCAATGTCTGCAGCAGCCAGCAAGTCAAATAAATGAATGGATCCTCCTAGATGTGAGACAGGAAGGGGTGAGGACTGTGGTGTTGATTCAAATCTTTATTATTCTTGCGAGAAATTTGTTGCTCATCAAGCTAATGTCCTCACGAGAGGGATGGAGGAAGTGGTTCTTGGTGCCCCAGTTCTTGACTTTGGAGTCTTCACCCCAGCCCAGCCTCCTGCAGTGGCGAGAAGACCCAGGCACCTGCAGCATCCCCACACCTACATTTCTCCCATCCTTCTCGAGTGCTCCCTGGCTTTCCCTCTCTGTCTCTGGCAAGGACAATGGGACTGGACACATGAAACAGCACTTGACTTCCCTTAGATTAGAGACCGGTCATCCCAAGACAGATCTAAATCCTTCCTATCTGTGTGTACACTTCCAGCTTCCTGGGGTAACTGGCTTCCTTCTGTATATACTAAACCCTCTTGTGCTCAGCAGGGTGGCTGACTTCCCTATCTTCCTTCATCTGGTGATGAATTCTAGGCACCAGCCTTCCTCTCATTCCCCTACTTCAAGACCTCAAAGACTAAACCCAAGCAGCCTGGATATAAAGCTGCCCCTCCCTCCATTAGTGCCCAGCCCTCAGAGGAATCTTCTCCGCTTCTGACATCCTCTCCCTCCTTCTTTACCTCCAGTCTGGCTTGGGAGAATAGGTCACACCCTCTTCAGGGGCCTCTTAAAAGACTGACCCCCACCAGTCATCCTCTCTCTCAGAGAGCAGGCGGCCACTCATCTTCCACTGGGCTGCTCTTGGTGGCGAGCAAAGGGCCCTGGGGTGAGCAGGGAGTGCGGTTAGGGAGGATCTAAAACTAGCCAGCCCTCTGAGCTTCTGAGAGATGCCCAGGAAGGTGCTGACACAGCCCTTGTTCCTTCCTAGGGTGAGATGCTGCCAACTCAAGCCAGGAGGCAGAAAACCCCTCAATTCAGAACTATCACTTACGTTTGTGACAAAATTAAATGACTCACAAACACGCTTAGCATAGTGGCTCCAGGCACAGATGCTCTAGCTGGGTGTCCTTGGGCAAGTTGTTTTGCTTTTATAACAGTCTCCTTTTTGTCATGTCAATTAGGGATGACAACCTATCTCAGAGGGATGTAGTGTGGACAGCTGAGATAATAAAAGTGAAGTACTTGGGTGTACAGTTTTCTTTTTCCACTTCAATATTATCTATGACAGTAAAAAAAAAAGAATAAAACAAATGTTGACTTATAAACACATTAGATATTACACATGATAAATTATCAAGCTGTTGAACTAAATAACACAAATGGGTTGGGCGGTACCTATGGCTCAAAGGAATAGGGCACCTGCCCCATATGCCGGAGGTGGTGGGTTCAAACCCATCCCCAGCCCAAAACTGCAAAAAACAAACAAACAAATAACAACAACAACAAAACAAAGGGGCTGGGCTCTGTGGCTCACACCTGTAGTTCTGGCACTTTGGGAGGCTGGGGAAAGTTGTCCCTCCTCCCTCCTCCAGTAGACATGGAAGCCGAGTGGGGAATATGCCACAGAGAGAATGAGCTGAAAAATAACAAAAATATTTTTGTGTTTTTAAAATTTTCCCCATTCTTTTTGGAAAAATAATACCTGCATCTCTGCTTCAGGCCAGTGGAGGGAAAGGGGATTGTCTTTTGTTTTTTGCACTACAAGAGATGGGTCAGCTGAATTGTCCTGAATTTGCCCCACCTCTCAGGTCTAAGTAGGCCTCATAGGTGGGCAGAGTTCAGTGGAGATGGGACAATCAGAATCATTAACTGGCCAAGCAGCAAGTAGGCCATGCCTGTAATCCTAGTACTCTGGGAGGCTAAGGCAGGTAGATCACTTGAGATCAGGAGTTCAAGACCAGCCCGAGCAAGAGTAAAACTGTGGTCTCTACTAAAAAAGAGAAAAATTAGCCGGATGTGGTGGCACATGCCTATAGTTCCAGCTACTCAGGAGGCTGAGGCAAGAGGATTGCTTGCACCCAGGAGTTTGAGGTTGCCACAGCACTCTACCCAGAACAACAGAGTAAGACTGTCTCAAAAAAAAAAAAAAAATTAACTGTAGTTGAACAACAATAGTCTAGAAGTGAAAACTCTCTTTAAACTCTCTCTGTATTTCTGCCTATGTTTAGGATGTGGCATATAGACAGGAGCCTCTATCCTCCTCATTTGCCCACAAATTAATAAATTCCTCTTCCCTTGTTCTTCTGATGCAGCCTTGAGGACGACTGCTGAGCTTTCACTAACAGCTTGAGCCCAGGAGCTCAAGGCTCCAGCGAACTATGATCATGCCACGGCACTCCAGTCTGGGGACAGCAGAGGAGGATTCCATCTCTATTATTGAAAGTTGTTGTGGTGGCATCCAGAGAGAGGAGACTGGAGGGGAGATGTTCAGGCCAGTTTTGTTTGGTTTTTTGTTGTTGTTGCTATTGTTGAGACAGAGTCTCACCTTTTTGCCCTCGGTGGAGTGCCATGGCATCACACTGCTCACAGCAACCTCCAACTCCTGGGCTTAGGCGATTCTCTTGCCTCCTCAGCCTCCTGAGTAGCTGGGACTACAGGCACCCGCCACAACACCCAGCTATTTTTTGTTACAGTTTGGCCAGGGCCGGGTTTGAACCCGCCACCCTCAGTATACGGGGCCAGCGCCCCACCCACTGAGACAAAGGCGCCGCCCAGGCCAGTTTTTTTGAAAGAGACAATGACCTGCCAGGACAATGCAAAAATGGTGTCTGTACCCTGGGGGCAGTTAGAGACAGCTTTTATATGAGGCGGACTTGCCTGGAGGGCTTTGGTGGGTTAGGGTCCTTTGGCCGGAATTTCTTCAGAGGTGGAGCTAACTAGGTCCTTTTTGTTCTTTGTTTCAAGAAGGGAGAGAAATGTTCGAGTAGGGCCATGGGTTAGGCCCCCAACAAAAATAAATAAACGTACGCAAATGGTAAAATGCTTACAATATAAAGTTAAATAAGCAGGCGGCACCTGTGGTTCAGTGAATAGGCCCCATATACTGAGGGTGGCGGGTTCAAACCCAGTCCCGCTACTCAGGAGGCTGAGGCAAGAGAATCACCTAATAAGCCCAAAAGCTGGAGGTTGCTGTGACCTATAACGCCACAGCACTCTACCGAGGGTGATAAAGTGAGACTCTGTCTCTAAAAAAAAAAAAGAAAAGTTAAATAAGCAAGAAACAGTCCTT